TTCTTTTTTTTTGTGTACACCTTCCCTAAACCAAACCACAGTGATTTAAGAAGCAGTCCAGAAAAAGAAAAACCCTTACAGCAGCCTGATTTTTACCACGTTTTCAGATTTTCCCACTTTCTCACCCTGTTACTTGTTTACGTCATTTTTGTTTTTTGTTCTGCAGCTCTGATTACATAATTTGCAATCTTCTGAAGTTTATATAGGGCTACGTTTTCAGAATGAGTCTATGTTGGTTTTTGGGGCTGGTGTCTTACGTGTTTTTGTAGGCCATTTATTGTTAAATAGGCATGATGTTAAAGCCATCAATAGATGGCAGCAAGCCCCTGTCTTAACGAATGATTGTGTCATTTAACCAAATGATTTACACAAACTGCACGAAAGATTCTTTTAGAAACAAAGAGAGTACTGTAGCTTATGAATGGACCACTGACTCGTATGATTTGTTCGAAAACAGATTAACAGATTACACAGTGTTGCTCTGAGACAAACAAATGCTAATTCACCTTTCAGAAAGAGCTGCAGCTACTCCAAGTCTCAAGTCTGTGTGGTTTCTGGTCATAGAACTTGTATGTGATGAAAAAGCTATATACACCAATAGTAAATTAGCATGGCAAGAATAAACATTCTTAATTGCGTTCTTTAAATAAATTAATCAGTTTAAACTTGAAAAATGCAAGACTAATTAGTGCAAACTGCCAGTGCTGAAAATAGCTTTAATGCAAACGGCTGCTGCTATTGATAATCAATGTCAAGTACATATGTGTGTGCGTGTGCTGGATTTAGAGCAGCTGAGCACTCTTTATTAGGGTTCCTTATGTGTAGATCACGCACAGGCTGACTATTTTCTTTAACAAAAATATATATATATATATGACAAGCAAAAGTTAGAATTATAAAAATAAATCAACACTTTTGAAAGCAGCTTTGTTGATTTGTCTAGTTCTGCAGTGACTGTATAATAATTTATATTCAGATGTCTGATGTCTGATTGATTTATATAAAACTTGGACACCTTGCAAAACATATTTAGAAGATTGGTAAATATTGTTAATTACTTTCATATGCATAACAAAAACATACTTTTAATGGATTAAACAAAATAAAAAGCAGACTGCTGAAAACTCTCTTGTGGAGATTCTGCCAAACTAGTTTTTACACATGCTCCTGGCTGGATCAAGCATGTTTGATTTATGTGGAGTAGAGAATTTTATATAGTGATTCTGTGTTTTGTACAGAGCATGTGGCATACTAAATATTCTCAGCTCCCACAATATATGCACTATTTATTATAGACAATAAATATCACACACCTATTCAAAACACTTCAGCAACTGCATAACTCTAAAAACATCAAAGAACAATATCACAACTACATCCCAACATTCTATAACCAGTCAGAAAACTCTAGCAACCACAGAGCAACATTCTGACAACCATTCATTGCACTCTAGTAACCACATAGCAAGACACGAACAACCACTCCAAACAATCTAGAACATACATAACAACACTGGAAACACCAGCTGCTGCAAAGCAAATAACAAGCATTCAAAATCCCCTACAGCTACTGAATAGTATTACCATATAATTTTAGCATTATAATATATATACTATATAATATATATTACTATAATATTATATTATATTATTCTATAACACCCCAACAACCAATCAGAACATCTTAGCAACTGAACAGAAACCCTCCATCAGCCACTCAGGAAACCCTTGCAACTTCACTATTGCTGGGAACCATTCAGAATACCCTAGCTCAGGGTAGCTCCTTCTACCTCCAGTCCGCAACTGGCGTGAAAAATATAATACGATTCAACCCGCCAAAACATGTTTTTTGCCACTATTATTGTTGTGCTGTTGCGTCTAGCCACTTGTGGTTTTGACCCGCTTCCTTGTCGACATTTAAAGTACTGAATTCAGATTCGTTTTACTTTTATTTTCTCCCAGTGTAGGGTGAAGAGTAACACATGTGTGTTTTAATTCTGTGGCTGATTCAAACGTTGAAATAAATGTCCGTGAGTGCTCTATTTTTACTAAAGCTCTATTTTTGTTAATATTCAAGGGTCGTTTATACCACCTGTATTTGTTGTACAAACACGTCTTCATTGCTTACATGTTGCTAATATTCGATTCAATCGGTGTTATTTATTAGTTTCCTCACGCATATTAAAATTTGCATAAAAACTGTGTACATTAGAAAAATAGTACTGCTAGTTGAATTGAACTTGTTAAAGTAAATGTGAATATGTACATACTTCTCCCCTTTTTGATTTACAAAAAAAAAAAAAAAGGAAAGATATTGAGAAGAACAATTGCCAGTAAAGTCATTTAAGTTACCCAAACTGCTTTCTGCTGTTCTTACGCTATTGGGACAATACAATTTGATGGGACAGAATAATTATTATGCCTGTTATTTGTAGTATTTTAATTTCAATTTAAACCACCCCTTCAATATGTACAACAAGAAAAAATGATGCTAATTTAGAGTTTTGACTGCATATAGTCTGTGGAAGAATGACTGTGTCTAACACTCGGCTATACTACACACAACAATTGTAGATTAAACGTGCTGATTTGCATTATCACTGGTGTCAGGTAATGCTTAAAATATGTCATGTATGTTGTCCTAAGATTCATCAACAATGTCAGGTTTCCACTTTTTCTTGTGCTTGAATGTTAAACTGGGCCTCTCATGAACTGTCAGTCACTGAAATAGGCCCCTGCCAATTTGAGTTTGAGATCCCCGCCTTAGCTTCTGAATACCATAGACTGTAAAAGTTATGGAAATAGTACCCGTGATGTCACCTATTGCTTTCTGAAAAACCCACAAGAAGCTACCAGTAGGCGTGGCCAACTGTCACCATTTTGTTCGAGCATCATCAGGCAGAGCGTGGGTGGAGCTACCGATGCCTGCTAGCATTTTGCTTAAACTGGCTTTTCAATGGGAGAAACTCTCAATACTTCATTACTTGTGATTTGTTTGTGTTCTGACCACATGTGCTTGGTTGTACACTATATCAATAGTGTTTATTCTTTTAAAACACTTGTAAAAATTGAGCCACTAATAATTGTTCTTATGACGTTTTTCTACAGAAGGAATATGCAAATTACTTTCAAACACTAAAAATGTAGTCTGTGTTAGTAAATGCAAGGCTATATACAGTATTAAATCCAGGCATAACACTGTATGACAGCGTTTCAGATGACTGTTCTATAGCCTGCAGCTAATTAATCTGTTAGATTCTGGAGTGCATTATAGGTCTAAAGAAAATTATAAATGATGAATAATCTTAAATAAAACAAATACATTTTTGAGATGGTATAACTATATAATTTCACTCACCTGGGAAACAGGCCACATTAATAGTTTGTGAGCACAATTAAGTGCACACAGCATGCCATATCATCTGATCATTGTAAGAAATAATACCAAAAGGCAACTGACTGTGTAAAACCACATAAACCAAAATAAAAATATGATGCATATGCAGAGTTCAGCAGCTAATCAGCTGGAATCAGCTGAGGTGAAGTGACGGCTACCAGCGAGACCTAGCTGTCACTTAATTGGCCACGCTCTTAACTATGTAGACTTAATATGTTGTCTTAGCAGCACCAAGCAACACCCTAACACGCAATCATAATATAACTGCAACTGCATAGCAACGCTCCAACAGCCACCCAGGAAACCCTTGCAACTTCATTACTACTTAAAACCATTCAGGATACCCAACACTCTAGGTAGTTGCCTTAGCAGCAGCATGTCAACACCCTAACAAAGCAGTCAGAACATATGGACCCTTTTCACAAGACTGTTATGATGCGTTTAATGGTCATCATAATCTTAAATCCTTAAAAATGTTTAATATTTTGATAGATTGTTTTTAAACGTATGAACATTTTTATGCATTTATGTATGTATTATATCACTTTTGCGTTAAATTACAAAAAACGAATTATCGCTTATGTGAGGTGTTTCTAATGCTGCATCTGTGGGGCTGAGAGTGAATCTGCTGTTATTCGCTCCTCTGGCTGCCGCCATCAGTCTCACACTGTGTTTTTTTTCCTTTTTCTGAAAGTCTTGATAACACCATCATGGCATTTTTCTTTTATTATTTCAGCAAATAGGATTGTAAAAAATGATGTGTTGTACTCTCCTATCCACTGCGCTCTAAGTTTACCCAACTATGACGCCATCTGCTACTGAGAAACCCGGAAATGTGAAAAGGGTCTATTGCAACTGCATAGCAACACTCCAACAGACACCCAGGAAACCCTTGCAACTTCACAACAACTTTCAACCAATCAAAATACTTTACTGAAAAAGTTTAGCAAACAATCTAAAAACCAATCAGAACATTCTAGCAACTGTATAGCAACACTCCAACAACCATTCAAAACACATACAGCAACTGCAATAAAACAATAATAAAACTCCACATAATATTTACTCAGGAAAATGTAAAAGTGCACTTTACTTCCATGTGAATTGTGTTTGTCATTTGGCAACTTCACAATTTCTGTCGTGACTTTTTTTTTTAAGTATGGCACTTCAAGGACAAATGTGGTATTTTTGTACAGTTTCTTGTTTGTCATGAGTCAGGGAAGCTGGGTAAGATTGGAGCTGGCTGTTACAGGACCTGTTGGAAACATCCTTCATGCTGTCATGCTAAACAGCACTAATGATGAATAATGATGCACATCTCTGCATGTCCAGCCTCATACAGACAGCAAACTAGGAACAAAGACAAAAGAGAGCGAGATAGACGTCCGGACTGAACAGTAACTAGAAGAAGGGAAGGGAAGGCTAAAATGAGGATAGACATTAAAAGAGAGAGAGAGAGAGAGAGAGAGAGAGAGAGAGAGAGAGAGAGAGAGAGAGAGAGAGAGAGAGAGAGAGAGAATGGGCTATTGAGTTTAAAATGGGACCAGTGTACAGTATGTTGGTAAACAGTTTTTTTTTTTTTTTGTGATGGTTTGATTTGCAGCCAGCGCTCCTGCTTCACCCAGAGAGATGATCAGTCTCAAGGACAGGAAGAGCGAATTCGACTCCACTGGAACCAATGCTACTTATCATGCAAATAAAGGAGAACACACTGCCAGAAAGGACACAATGGCAGGTATGTTTAACTATAGGAGGAAGATGTCCACAGCCATGTTGAAGAACTTAACATAAGGAAGAAAATTAACACACACAAAGCCCCAAATCAGAGTAAAACATAAAGTAATTCAAGAGTGGCAAAAATGTCTGATGACTGTTTCAAAATAAACACAAGACAACTATTTTAAATATTAATGTCATTTATTATAGTTTTGCTTAATTTTATTTTAATTAAATTAACTGTTTATTTAATCCAAATTGTGTTTTTGGCAATTGAAAATATATGTTTTGAATAAGTATAAGAAATTGACGAAATATCTTAATGCAAGATGGTATTTACTAAATATTCCAGTAATTTCTGACATAAAATAAATATCTATAATTTTACTCATACAGTGTATTTTTTGGATATTCCTTTCAAATGCACCTATGCAACATAAGAGCATGGTTGTCTACTATTAATAAATGTTATTTGATATCAATGAATGGATCAATTTAAAACTCAATCATATATTTGACCATGATTTTCAGAAGACAAAACCTTATAGCATTTTGAAATGTCAGTATATGCAAATTACATATGAGATAGGTCCATATTTGAATTTCACATATGCACATATATTTAAAAATCTTGCAGAAATTGCTACGCAAGTATATTTTACAACCATTAGATTTACAAATATGTACATATAAAGTATATACATGCACACTGGTGGGAGGTGTGCGTTGGTTTGAGGCTGCAGGCCGAGTGTCTTAGTGTGCCACCAGGGATGATATACAGCCGTATCACAGCCGTTACGAGTGTGATATTGCGTTTATACAACAGTTCGATGGTATAATCATGTATATAAAAAAGAAAATCATACTCGAGAGTTTAAAAACTCTTTTGTATGAGGAACTATCTTCCACCATTCCTTACCATCTGTAGCTGACATCAGAACAGCAGGAACTGTTGCAACTTCAAAATTGTCATTTTACAGCTATATTTAAATGATTCTCCAGCTTGATGTTTAAAATGATGACAAAAACAGGTGATTTTGCTCACATTTTAAGATTATATGGCTGAATGGAATAAAATGCCATCAGTCTAAAGAGATTTCCCAATATTTCTCTGTTGCAACCGGAATATCACAGTAATTAATCCCGAAAAAAGCCAAAGCAAATCAAACGGCACAAGATTACTATAGTATAAATACAGCACTACAACATACAAAAGAGAGAGATCGACTTAGAATGTCACTTACCAGTTTTATAATGATTTGATCAGCTGTAATTTGAAAATTTATGTCGAGTTTTTCTCCCTGAGGACTTATTATGCGGTCTTTGTTGCCATCTTGTAGCTGTCAACCATCAATTTCTTTTCTCTGTGGAGGGCTGCCAATGTGCTGAATCTCCAAAAATATAAATATTTAAAAAAATAGCACTATACTTATAAATAAACTGCATAGTTGCAATCTAAACAACTCCTCGCTTAAAAAAAGCCTCAAAAGTACATTATGTTGTCCAATAGCTGCAATATTTGTCAAACTCTGCTTGTCATGACTTATGTGGGTGAAGTAATGTATATATATATACATACATGAATATATATATACAACAGTTCTGTCTGGTTCTCAAATCTGATTGGCTGATAGCTGTGTGATATTCTGCAATATCTGAACTCCTATCTGAACACTGGTGGGGGCACTAAGGCACTCGGCCTGCGGCCTCGTGCCAACGCACGCCTCCCACCATTGCCGATATACAGCCATATCGCACTGCTACTCGTGTGATATTGCTCATATATATATATATATATATATATATATATATATATATATACACTTAATATAATAATAGTTCATATAATAATAGTTTATATAGTTATAGTTATAGTTAGTTTTATATATATATATATATATATATATATATATATATATATATATATATATATATATATATATATATATATATATATATATATATTAATAGTTTATATCCATGTTCATGTTCCCTAATGTATTAACTAACATGTCAATATACATTAGTTACTATAAGATTGACAAAATCACAGATGTGTTGTTCATTGTTAACAACACTATACAATAAGGTTGTATTTATGTTAGTTAATACATTCATCAGCATGAACAAACAATGAACAATACATTTATTACAGTATTTGTTCATGTTAGTTAATGAAAATGCAGCTGTTCATTGTTTGTTCATGTTAGCTCATGGTGCTTCAACCCATATTTACAAGCATGCATCTGAATGGTGTTAATGCATTAGTAAATGCTGAATTACGATTCATAAATCCTGTACATGTATTGTTCATTATTAGTGAATGTTAGTAAATACATAAACTAATATTATCTAATGAAGCCTTATTGTAAAGTGTGACCATATAACATTATTGTAAAGTGCTACCTGACTTTCCAATATTAGATGTTATTACTGTTTAAATATATGTGGCATTGAAAAAAAAATTTATTTGAAGTCACAGTTGGCCACGGGAAGTGCATTTGCGGGAAACAGTCATTAGAATTTCTTGCTACAGCCCTAACACAGTATCTTATTAAAGCCTGGATTTGTTTCACCATCAACGAATGCAATTTTTCCAAGTATTTTAACACTTTATTAAAAAAAAAAAGTGTTCTCACACATTCTCACTCTGGCTTTCATCCCGCAGTTCAAACCTCCTGTGGAACATCCACATTGTTCCGGAATTCGTATGAGACTTCAAATGACGAGATCAAACACAACCAGGTGAGTGTTGAATCAGCCGGAGACGACTCAACTAACCAGGGTCAAACAGGGACTGCAGATCCCAGACTGTACATCAAATGCATTTCAGAATTCTACATTTACGTTCACTACAACCGCCGCTATTTGAGGAGAAGTCATTAGCGTGTGTTTTCAGCGCGAGGCAGCTGTCTATCCACCAATCCAGATCTGTGTTGGCAAACAAAAGCCTAAAGATCCATCCATTCTCCAATAGACCTGTCAGATGTTGTTTATTTGACTTTGTGCGCCTGCATGCTATGCTAATGAACAGCAACTATACGCTCCCAGTATTTTTGGCACTTTGACCATATAGAAGATCTATTACTTCTCCTTGACGTGGTCTATAATGGTAAATTTTGCGATTTCATATGGATCAAGTTTTTGCCAGCTGTCCCTGGCACACTTCCGAATTGTGGCGTATGTTGACAGAAATCCTTTGCCAGACGAGCAGCTGCGAGGAGGCTGTGCTGATAAGACTGGCTTCCTCATGGATCTTGCCTTTCTGTAGCTGGAGAGCAGTCAGCTCTGCATCGTTTTCAATTAGTAACATCTCATTTTCTGCTTCCAATCTCTCTCTCATCCGAAGCAAAGTAACAGGAATTTAAAGGGTTAGTTTACTCAGAAATGAACATTGTGTGGTTGTTTAGGGTGCGCTCACACTTGTAGTTTGTGGATTTGCTTTTATTAGTCCTCACCCAAAAACAAAGCATGATATAATCAAAGTTAAAATCAAACTTTAAGGGGACCTATTAAAAATCTTTCATAGGGGTTTATACACAGTTGTGTGGCAACAGTGAGGGAAAAAAACAGCCTCTAATGGGTAAAATTAATTCATCAGACCCCCTAGTTTTTCACTTTTTTTTTGTGATTTCTTTGCGATAAAAATATTTTATAAAATTTTAAAAAATATTTCCCAATTTATGTTTAACAGAGCAAGGACATTTTCACAGTATGTCTGATAATATTTTTTCTTCTGAAGAACATCTTACTTGTTTTATTTCAACTAGAAGAAAAGCAGTTTATAATTTTATAAACAACATTTTAAGGAAAAAATTATTAGCCCCTTCAAGCTATTTTTTTTTTTTTTTGATAATCTACAGAATAAACCATCATTATACAATAACTTTTCTAATTACCCTAACCTGCCTAGTTCACCTTATTAACCTAGTTAAGCCTTTAAATGTCACATTAAGCAGTATAGAAGTGTCTTGAAAAAAATCAGGTAAAATATTATGTACTATCATCATGATAAAGATAAAATATCAGTTATTAGAAATGAGTTATTAAAACTATTATGTTTAGAAATATGTTGAAAAAATCTGCTCCGCGTTAAACAGAAATTGGGAAAAAATAAACAGGGGGGCTAACAATTAAGGGGGGCTAATATTTCTGACTTCAAGTGTGTGTGCGTGTGTGTGTGTGTGTGTGTGTATATATATTAGGGGTGTGTCAAGATGCTCACTTGACAAGACGAGACGAGACACGAGATTGGGTTCATGAGAACGAGACGAGATTTTTACACTTTTTTTAAGAAATCGTCTTTAATTCAACTAAAAAAATCACAAATTGCAAAACTATTTAGGTGCTTTTTTTAAATCAACTTGTGATGAATGTTATTTTACTTTTATTTTAGTGAATTCTGTGTTTTGCTTATAGGCTATGGTAATGGAAAATATTTTTTTATAATTTTAAATATTAACAAAATATTTGCTAATATATAAATGGAAAATACTGTAGATTTTTATTCAACTGAAAAAAAAATCACAAACAGCAAAACAATTTAGGCACTTTTTTAAATGAATGAATGAATGAATGAATGAATGAATGAATGAATGAATGAATGAATGAATGAATGAATGAATGAATGGTGTTTTATTTCTATTTTATTTAATTCTATGCCCATAAAGCACATGCAAATACTAGAAGCAAGAAGAAGCTTGCAGTGGTCACGCACATCCTCAAGCACATGTTTAGACAGTTGGAATGGAATGGATTGGAAATGAAAGTTTATTGGAATGGAAAAGCGTGTTCTATGTAAATGGCCCCCAACAGAGAAATTGCACCAGAGCTTGTTTTAATTGAACAAAACCATCCATAATCACACACATAATCTCCTCATTTTGTTCCATGGAGCTCCAAAGATGTTAGGCAGAATGCATTGAGCTATTGTTTTATATTTGTACATCTACAAACTGTATGAAAACTATTAGCCTAAACATTCACATTCACAAGCGCAAGATTTATAAAGACAACAGGGCTCAAAAATAAAGAGGTTTCTATGGTCAGGCAAAGACTATAGAATACACAAGGCATGTCACTCATTTCTTTTTGAATGGTGAAAAGTGTAATGGTCAATATGGTGAATAAAGCCCTGCCTACAAGTACAGGAGCCAATCATCGATCACTATATGGTGAATAAATCCTGCCTTCTAGTACAAGAGCCAATCATCAATCACTATAGACTGATGATACTCCAGTGGAGGGGCTCGGTCCAGACGTAAGTTTCTGCAAATGTTATGCGATTTGGATGTTTAGAAATGAAACTAAAGAGACAGTTATTGTTTAATTTTTGGTGATTCCTAATATGAAATTCAATTGTAAGCTTGGCAAGCAGTTTTGGAGAATTTGATGTTTCCCCATTTAAACAGAATGCCTGAGCATAATGCCTGAGAGGCATTTCAAAGATGGCCGCTGAGTAAAATGACTTGCCTTAAAGTGACTTTGGGTAAGGCCAATAATGTCTTTGAATTGGTCATGCACATATTTTTACACAGAGCAAAAAAAGTTTTTATGTGTTTTCTTAAATGAGACATTTTGTTATTATATAAGGAAATTGAAGCTATTAAAGTACAGTTGAAGTCAGAATTATTAGCCCCTCTGTTTATTTTTCCCCAATTTCTGTTTAATGGAGAGAAGACTTTTTCAACACATTTCTAAACATCATAGTTTGTTCTGTAGACTATCAAAAAATAATAATTCTGGGGCTAATAATTCTGACTTCAACTGTATATTTAAGATGCCTTCAAGACAGCAGTAAATTCATAAATACATAGACGTACTGTATAATCTGTATAAATAGCTTTATTAGTTGAAATTAATATTAACAAGACTACTACAAGCAGAGGCTCTACGTGGCCCTATGCAAAGATGTTGATGCAGGGCCTTGCGTAATCTGCAGATCCACAAACTGCTAGGGAATGGATCCGCAACTCATTTGTCAACACATGAGGTCAATCCACCATGTCTGTGCAAGAAGATAAACTGCTGGAGATTGAAAAATGACAGCGGCCTTTTAGGGGCCGTTTACATATCGCATCTTCTGTAGAGTTCACGCATATTGTCATTTTCAATGGAGGTGCGTGGCTGGCACGCACATGCAACATGATGTGCTCCTGCCTTCTAGATGCACTCGGTTAAATGAATGAGCGCACTGCGAGTCATTTGTCAAGAACTGACCAATCAGTTTGTATGGAATATCACATTTCGGTAGAGTAATTATCTTAGACAAACACAGAACACCCAAACACTGCAGTGCTTTGTAAATGTCTCCATGTCTAAAACTTGTATCAGAGTGACAGCTTGTCATCCTCTGAGAAAATGGGCGATGGTCACACATCAACCTACGATCGCCTGACATCCCCCACCCCCGGTCTGCGACCACTGCATTAGACGCTTAACTTACATTTATTATTCTATGCATATAAAATGTTTGACATTTTAAAGATAACAACCAGTTGGAAGGGGACAACGCAATGATCAGTACACTTTAAATGTACCTGTAGTAATAGACCATCCCTATTAATGAGCCCTTTTCAACATAACAACCTCTAAATCAGTCCATTTGGAATAACATAAGCTGCTGTTTCCTCCCAAACGTAAGATACAAATCTATATTATTTGTTTCCCCTCAGGTCCCAGTGCCACCCATCCCGCAGGAGCCCCCGCTCAAGGACTACGAGCCGTACCCCATCTATCAAAACTCCACTAGGAACTTTGAGGAGCCATTTTTTGAGGATCAGGTCCATCGCCCCCCTCCCGCCACCGATCTCAATATGCACCTGGGACTTAAATCCACCGGAAATTACGTGGATTTTTACTCGGCCGCTCGGCCCTACAGCGAACTCAACTACGAAACCAGCCACTACCCCGCGTCCCCCGACTCTTGGGTTTAAACGTAGAGGCCGCAAAACTGCATGTGCATGAGTATCACAAAACATTTTTCAGCAAGTTTTGTTAGTCTAAGCTGGTTCCGTGAGCGTTAAAAAAAAGAAAAGAGAAAGCGAGAGGGAGAAAAGAAGGCCTTGACAGAGACAGAAAGAATGCGTGAGAGATGAGAGAGAGCACACGCTTTAAAGAGAAGCAAAAGCCTAACCTTTGGAGTAGAAAGTAGGTTTGTATTGAAAGCTATTTGAAAAGTGTGGAAGAGAAAAAGAAGTAGGAAGGTGAGGAATGTGAGCACAAGAAAACCAAGCTTGTAGAAACGAGCTACGGGAGCAGCTTTTCACCCTTTTTTTTCCCCAAATGTTCTTTTCAGTCAGTGGATTATTTTTTTCCACATTATTCCCATCTATTTTTTTAAGTTGATGTAAAGTATTTGGTGTACATTTAAAAGATGCATTACACAAGTGCATTGTGTAAATTTACACAAGACCACGCAGTTCTTCCCGTGGCTTTTACAGTACAAGGAAAAGACAAAAAAAAAAAAAAAAAACGAGCAAAATGCATCAACGTTGAGTGTTCATCTCCCAAAATGACATGCGAAGAGAAAGGATGTACGTGCCAGTATTGTTGATTCTGAAAATGTGAACATGTTTGTGGCAACTAAAACAAAAGCAGATGAAGACCGGAGCGTCATTTCACTCTCCTCTCCTCGTCGACAAAGTGCTTTCTCACTGCCTACAGAAATAGATGTAGATTTTTGACATTTTTTCAAATTCACTTTTTTTTTCTTTCTTGACTCAAGTGTGGAATAAAAATAAATGCGGCTGCTTTATCATCCACGTTTGCAGGAAAACTGTCCGTTTTAGACCTCGATCTCGGTTTTCTGTGCGAACTGATTGTGCCAAATCTCTTCGATCAGCACTGGAGACATTTATAAGTTGTTCTGTTCGATTTGTACCTGCGTTTTTTTTTTTTTTTTTGGTTTTTCTTCTTCGGTTTAAATAAGTGTATTTAACTGGAATTAAGCGACGTCTAGAAAACACTGGAGTACTACCAGGAGGGCAAAACAACTTTGCAAGCTTAATTCCCTCCAAAGATGTACAAAAAAAAGCCCTGTCTCTCAATGTTTAGTTGAGTGTGTGCTGTATGTCGATCAGTGTTTAATATGAGAGGCTTTGTTTCTGACGGTTTGGCTTCTGCTGTTTGACTCGACGACATGATGATAATGAACACTGAGATGTTAATAGAGAATGATAAATATATAAATATGAATATAAATATAGATCTATATAATTTTTATGTGCAGATGTCAGTGTCACTGAAAGCAACAAACCAGAAAAGACTTGTACAAAAAAAAGAAAAAGCAAAACAATTCTGTTTACCTTCATGTCCGACTGAGAAAAAAGAAAATGAAACTTGAAATGTTGACCTGGTCCCAGTTGTGTTCTTACCAAGCTACATGAATAATCACGCTGGATTTGGATGATGTTCTGATGTCAGGACAATAAATTACTCTTTGCGATTTGGAGATGTTTTTCTTATTTCCACTGTTACCACAGCAGAGGGAATGCACATTCAAACCTGTTACACTGGTATTACTGCACGCTGGGCACTAGGTGGTGCTATAAGTCACAAGGTATGATGGTTAACATTTTATTTGAACTAAAACTAAACATAAAATTAGTAACAGATGCAGAATATTTTCACTCACTGCTATTGGTATTCAATTACTTGTACACAATTGCTAATTTCCTTTGTACCCTTGGTATATTTAATAGATAGAAACACTTTATAAATAGTTCTGTATTGGCAGCATTGGTTCAACGAAGAACTTAAAGAGCCCCTATTATGGGTTTTTGAAAATGACCTTCCATGTAGTGTGTCACAGCTCTAAGTAAAGTGAAATATCCAGCTAAGGCTTAAATCTTCAAGTGCACCGTGTTTAAAACTATTGATTCATCTATAAAAGAGTTGACTCATAGTGGTCCAAAGGAATCGTGGGGGTAACGAGTCTTTAGCCGAACCTATTTGTTGCACGCGCAGACCTGGGAAAATTGAAACCCCTAACCCTGCCCACAAAACACTAGCAAAAGAAGAACACTGTAGCGGATCCTGGTTGAATCAAGTTGCATAGACGCTTTGCTCTGAAAAGTGAGGGAAAGTTAGTGTTGATTTCCCTAGCCATGGATGAGGCTGTGAAGAGTTAGTAGTTGAAGTTTGTTTTTGTAAAAATACCTCAGCATTATAACCCTAGACTTGTGTTGTGTTCCCGTCATTTTTCTGACGAGTGCTTCAGCAATCTACATGCTTTCAACGGGGGGTTCGCCAGCCATTTGTTAAAGAAAGTATCAGAAAGTCTATTAATGCATGGGACTTTGTTAGAGCTTGACAGGAACTTTATCCGTACATAGTTCATGGATCAGTTTCTTCCTCCTTTTCACAAGTGTAAGTAAGTGCTATTAAAATCGTTGCCTTGTTTTCTCTAGCTTGCAATTATTTAATTAATTGTGTTGTTCCTTGTAACTGCTTGTACTGTATCTGCTAACTCTTTATATTCGCATATTAATTCTAAAACTACGTTAAAACATGACACATGTTGCTTTGTTTATGGATTTAAATGCATTTGTGAGCTCACGATCCACTTCTGTTTGTCGTTGCTATGGCCACCGTCAGCTGTTCTTACACACGTGCAGCAGTCAAGTTTTAAAACAGTTTCACTTTTGCTGCTGTGTTGTCTAATACTGAGTTTGTGTCATGGTTAAGAGTAAAGTTAAACTGCCTTGCTTCAATGCACTCCTGCATTGGGCTCACATATATACTCTGCACTCTGACTACTTCAACAATGTTGATAAGCCATGCTGGGCATTTCTCTCTGGCTGTTTCTCAATTCCAAGAACGCAGAGAATGGATTTGCTTTCTTGTGGAGACCGGTCTTGCCAGGTGTCCTCGGAAGAACGAACTCAGGAGAGCGCGAGGGCAGAGAATGCGTCCTTTGAGAAATGGGATGCTGCGTTCTTTCTGATGGTCATGTGACCTTCACGCGTTTTAAATAGTAAATTATTTAAACATTACAGCACTCATACAACGATTTATTGTTTCCCCCCTCTTCAAAATATATACTTTGCATAAAAACATTATAAATATACTCTGCACAATGTAAATAAAACAGATTTTAATATGAATTTCAGCAAACAAACAACCCTTAATGTGTTTATTCCTTTATTAAGATGTCCATGGTAATGTTTACTTTCAACGTTTCATTTAGGGAAACTCCTGAGGTAAATAAGTGATATCTCTGAACTTTAATAATAAATCTAAATAAAATGCTGCGCTTCCCACCTCCAGTCGCAATGACTTCTGGGACTTCCAGAGCGAGTTCGGTGCTTAAGTCTGCATCAGTGCGTCCTCGATATCAAGAACACATCCGGGAAGTTTCACGCGTCCTCCGTACTTGCGGTCTTGAGTATTGGTACTAAACTTAGGTAGCTGATGATGACGTTGCATGAGAACACGAGGACGCACAGCCTCTGTCTCACGTTGAACACAGTCAACCAATCACAATAGACTGGGTCACTGACCAATCAGCGCAGATTAGCATCACGCTAAGGTGGGGCTTGGGAACAAATGAATTGCTGAACAATCATGTGGGAGTCGTTGTGATAATTAGATAAAAATAAATGTATATTATAAGACGATGAAAGTGTTTTTTGACCTTGCATGCATATCAGACTGTTGTTGGAGACCCCCAAAACCAAAATATGACCCTTTTTAATGCATAACAGGCGCCCTTTAAAAGGTGCATTAAAAGCGATGCAATTTTTTGTCAAGGTTGTTATTTGAAAGGATCAAAATATACCCACCCATAACACAACAAAACCATCTCTGTTAGAATTACTATAGACATCTGTACATCAGCTTTCAGCCATACACTGGGATCAGAAGTGTTTTTCTAAAATGGTTTATGCACCTTTTGGAAACTTTCTAATACAGACGGTTCTTCTATTAATTATTTATATTATTTTATTATGTTCTTTGAAGATTTTTTTTTAACAAAACGGTTCTTAAGGAAAATCAATATTCTTCTATGGCATCACTGTTTTGCCACCCTTTCCTCAATGTGATTGGTGGAGTTTTCTGCATGTTATGGAGAATGACAGCACTATTTAATTTGGAGTAAAACTAGTTTCATTTGTGGTTTGTATCAGAGAGATCTGTAATGACCTGGATTTGACAGCCATGTGTGGTGGTCATGTACAGTATATGTATGCATCTGTCAGGCGTGGCTGACAATGCATTAAATATTGATAAATGATCCATTCAGCGTGGGGTTTGATCAAGTACCACTGATCCACTTTTGGTGCGTTTTAATTTATTTTCTGCAACAAAACGCTTATTGGTTTGGCAAATCAGTAGTGGCACTACAATTTGGTAGGGAAACTATTTCTGCAATTCTACCATTAAATGAATGGTATTGCAACAAAATACACAGAAATTATGTCAATAGATAGCTTTAAGCTCAAATAACAGGACTGTTTTTTTCAGTTTATTAGTTATTGTTAAAAATCTATTTCCATGTAGAGAAAATGAATAAAGATTTTTACTTCCAGAACAAAAACTGTTGCGCTCTATTGAGTTCATACTTTTTTAAAACTGCTAACACATTCTTAATGGGTTCTTTTTTTAAATACGAATCTCAGGCTGCACAAAATCTTGTAAACCACAATGATTTTTACTTTGTTCTTTTAGAGTATATTGCTGCTAAAACACATTTTTTGTTGTGTTTCTGCAAGTAAAATAAACATTTTTACAACCCTTTAAGACAGACCTGTTCTAAGCTTGTTGATTGTATTTGCTTTTATTGAACCCAACGGTTTACATTAATTCAACTTATTTAATTTAATTCAGAAAACCGCATTCCCCATGATGCTGTACAGATCATTTCACCAATCCGAAAGCTGAAATTAACAGATTGCCAAAATAGATATTTAGCTCCGCCCACTCTCACAATCAAGTACACTGAGTGCAAGAAGTCAATGTAGCTACTTATTACAGTAGTTTCTAAACTAACAAGTTTTATATTTTTTGTTGTTTTTCAGTTTTTACGCAATGCTTCATAACTCTTTCCATCATTAATGCCTTTCAGCACACTCTTGTACCTTTTTTCACATACTTTGCTTCAAATGAAAGTTTGCTTTATTTATTATTATTCTCCTCATATGTGGTTGTTTTGGTTCATGTTTATAAAGCTTTAAAAATGGTCCAGCACTTAGGAAGTGGACTAATGCACTCTAATATATCAAAAGCCTCAAAAAATTACTTGCAAAATAAGGTTGATTAAAGGTCTAAAGATTCCGACATGTCATGAAGGATGCTTTGGAAGGGACTGTGAATAATTTATCTTAGCTATTGTTGTTTAGAATATTTACATAGGAGCAAATGTCAGGTAAGTTTTATTTGTACTGAAATAATTGTCCTTTATTTATAATAATGTTTTTGAATTTAGCATGGGAACCCTAAACATCATCCAAATTTAATGAGGTTTTATATCTGTACGCGTCTTATACAGCTATGTCTCTGGATAGCTGGATTTTTATATACATGGGTTTTATTCTATAAATAACAAGTCTACCAATTTTTTAAATAATATTGTCGTTTAGAGTTTTGTCCACATAAAATCGGTTCAGAATAATAATTTCTTTGTTGTGATTGAAAATCTGGGATTTCTTGACTCTTCTTAAGTTAAAGGGTCATGAAACACCAGAAGACATTTTTGAGATGTTGGCAGTCATAAATATGTCCCACATTCTTAAAAACACCATTAGGACACATATATTTCACTAAAAAGTGAAAAACTGATTGTTTTTGCTTTGTTTTAAGCAAATTGTTCTTCCGGTTTGAAAAGAAAATTTAAAGCAAGGTCACGGCCATGAGATCATTGTGTAAACGCGGCCTGTACAAAACAACATCATTGAGTTTTCAGCATTAATTTATGAGAAAGACTTGGTTTGAACCAATCAGCATGCTCTATTGTGAATGAGATGCAACTTCATTAATATGCATAATATAATTTCAAAGACTCTTTTTACCTGTTACAATGTTGAAGAGAGACGCTATGTTGTATTGCCAAGGGTAATTCAAGCAAGTTGAAGAAGAAGAAGAAGAAGAAGAAGAAGAAGAATTGTTCGGAGATGTGGGTCATCAGTGTTGTGTTTATAAATGTGCCACAAAAAAGTTTTTGTTTCCATTTCCCTGAGAGCACAGCTCACGTGTGGACCCAAGCAGTTGTATTACAGTGGTCTGCTAACTTGTGACAAAAATATGTTTGTATAGAACAGTTTTTACCTAAGAGCTTTTTGAATCTGAAAATGGTGAAAGTGATTTGCTTCTCGTCGTCTTTAAAAAAAAAAAAGATGCGGTTCCAGTTGGTGTTGATTGCCCTGTCTCTACGGATTTGGTAAGTGTGTGATCAATGTTTGTTATGTTTGTCCAGATGGCAAAGTTAGTTAGTATTGTCAGCAGCACTCTT